CAACGTGTCGCTGCGCACCGCCGTCGTGCCGGGCTACTATGGCCGCCGCGGCCTGCGCGTGCTGTCCGACGCCATCGTGCAGCGGCACGCGCCGACGCTGCGCAAACGCGTCGTCGAGGACCCGCTGGTGGCGGCGCGCGGCATGGCGCAGTACGTGCAGGCGGTGCTGGTGCCGGAGCTGGCCGTGCAGCTGATCCGGGAGGACATGCAGCAGGGCGGCGCGGGTGCGTCGAGTGCGGACGAGGCCCGGCGGGTGCTGGAGGAGAGTGCGGCCATTGGCGAGGACGTGATGGACGAGGAGCGGGACGTCGTCGATGATGACGATGACGATGATGAAGACGACGAAAACGAAGAAGGGAAGAGGGCCAACAACGTTTATGGCATCGAGACGGAGGCTACCGGGTACGATTACATATCTACATAGTCATCCAGGAGATTGACGTCTGACCGTCCGATGAGAATTCAATATCCCCTAATTATATGACTTGCTATGAATTCGTTGTCGATGGGTTTATGAATTGTGCTCTCACTTTTTGAGGGGCTTACTGTTTTTCTGTGATTTGAGAAATTATATATCGTCGCTTCCATTTCCAAAGTCTATTTTCACAAATTCTGATAAATTGTAATTTAAAGTACGTCTAGTATGTATATTTCTATTTCAAAGGATGGAATTGATGTAATTGGCTTACTTCTCCTTCCACAACCCAACGCACACTCCACGTCTTTCGATCGACCACCGACAAGGAATAGGTCCAAGCCGTCCAGACAGAAGCTGTAGCATATCACGGATCACGGTTGCTCAATCCTGGGCGCCGACAGGGGCGACGGCTAAAGAGCGTTCAGAGTTGTGTCAAGAGGTCGAGAGGTTAATAGCTACGTATAAATAATGACATGATAAATTCATCTCACTTGGAGAGATGGATATCATTTTTAGACGAACGGGCTTGTTGTTGACTTGGGACGAGGGAGGAGGTGGTGCCAAAAAAAAAAAAAAGAAAAAAAAAAAGAGAAGACAAGAACCAGTGTCATAAATGCCAAGAGAGATCGCCTCGAGTTCCTGGCCGTCGTCTCTGGTTTTACCATGCTGCTGCCTTTACAATGTACCCTTGCGATATGATCGCCTCGCGTCTTACACGCACCACACATCGGCACCCCTGATGCGACCGATGCGACTGATGCGACTGATGTGATGGATGCTCCGTCGAACGAGCGACGACAACGTGCATGGAGCCATGACAAATCTTGAGCTGGGAGGGCTTCCACCATTTTTGCTTCTTCTGCTCTTCACCGCGGCCCATTTCTTTCTTCCATGCCCGTTCGTCCCTGACCACTGTTTCCAGACTATTGTCTTTTGCATTCCTTCTGGTCGCTTTCGTACATCACTTGTCCTGTCTTGGTATTTCCATCTCTCTGTGCCTCCCCCCTGCACTTCCCACTTCAACTTAACCGATGGTCCGTGTCCCCGTTCCGGTTCCGTGTTGCTGAGCTTCGTCTTACTAAAGGGCTGGACTGCCATAGTACCTCACCACCTCTGCAGATTGATTGCCCGTTCGTCGTTCGTCCTTGGCCTGCTATATGCAATATTATACGTCGTAGCTTTATACACCTGTTCAGACGGCCCGATACCAGACGACGGCACACGGCACACTTTTCTATATCGTCGCCTGCTAACTAGTAAGGCTATATACATAAACGAGCCCAGTCTGCTGTAATTCATGGGATGCGAGTGCAGTGCTAGACCGAAAATTCAACAGGCTCTTTACCGTGACATTTCAACGCCCCAGAATCCAGACGTGTCTCGCCCTGTTCGCCGCACAGATCGTGGCCAGGGCCTGGCGTTGCATTGCTGTGCTGTTCCCTGTACTACTTGCTTTACTGCTCCAACTCGCCCTCAAGCAGCGCTTGTCTCCGTAGGTTTCTGGTTTCGCAGGACTGAGCTGCTTCCTTTTTCACACGTTACATTTCTGCTGCCATTTCTCCATTGTTTGGCAGATGCAGATCTACTCTGGCGAAGAATGACCGCCGCCGACTTGTTCATCTGTTTTGCTCCGTATTTGTATCGACTTGTACGTGTATTTGTTGATTTCTGCAACTCTTGCCAACGTATGTTGTACTCTGTATAATGTCCGCTGATGGACTCGGAATTTTTCGTTTTATGCTTTCCTTCATTTCGTTTGCAGCTATCCGGTGTCATTATTTTGGTTTCAGGTCCATCAAACCTGCCTTGTCTTTCCCTTTACTTCTTTTAATCTGACATGTCTCTCACTCGGTCTTACGTATATCAGTCACTTTACTTTCTTTTTTGACATAGGGCGTGCCTATATTTGCTTGGCATATCGTCCGCACCTCTGTCCCTTTCCCGAGTTCTCTTGCCCTTTCACATTCTTAAATGTCTTTGACATGGCGTTGCATGACCACAGAGTGGAAATATACTCCCCAGATGGTTGCTACTTTCTTTCTTTCCCTTTTCTTAGCATTGCTTTTTGATCCCTAATCGAGGTAAGGTACGTCGTTCGGAGTCGTTGAATCAGCTCTTCTGTAAGCTGGTTCTGTAAGCTGGCCCTATCCCCTGCCCATCCAGACACCTGTTCGAGACCGGCTCGCCAGACAACTCGAGCCTTTTCCTGGCCCTAGCGTTCCTCTGCTTGGCAACAAGCATTCTGCACCAGCTCTCCTTGCCGCTTGTCACTGCCGGTTTTTAAACCATAAATTCGCCATGCCCAGTCAGTCCCGTCCGTCGCCCGATTCATGGTGAGTCTCGTTCTAGGCGGGCTTCTGCGTTCTCTGTATGATTTACTGGGTCTGGAGAGGACATGTCTTGGACCACAGGCGGGACCTTGCGGGCCCTACAATAGTTCAACAGCGCACAAGCCAGCCAACAGAGTTGTCAACCGAGACGGACATGCTACTGACCCGCAAGAGCCCGCGCGCCGCCCTGGTTTTATTGCATGCTGGCTGGGGGTTGCTTGGCTTTATTCGACTCTTTGATATCTGGTGAGTGTTTTGTGGGCGTTTTGGGCGTTTTGGATGGGCGTCCTGGCTTCGCGTATCGCAATCGCCTCACAGCCAGCCTCGGCATCGCGAGACGGGAACCACCAACACATCGCCAGCACGTCGCCCCTCGCGCTCTCGTCGCCAATTGTCGTCAAAGAATCTCCCCCTATCGTTTGTTATTGTGAGCGTCCCGAAAACTGTGCTAGTGAACACGAAGCTGCCATCCCCGTTGGCACCTGCCCCATAACGGCAGCGACGTTGTGGGGGGAAGCCGCCGGGCAAGGGCCCCAAGTCGGGCAGGGGCCACCGACGAAAACCGACACAAAACAACCAAAAACGAAAGGGCGACCGACAGCCAATCATGCCAAAGGATCGTTCCTCTATAAAACAAATTAATACCAGTAGATAAACGGCGCGCAGTACGACGCTGAATACATGGTAATTACGTCGTATATTTGTGAAAAGAGCCGCCGGCATATTTACACCGCGGAGGATTAACACACTTGGGCGAAGAACACGAAAACGGTACCGAGCAAGTCGCGCGGCACGCATGTTGGTCCAAGTTGGTCTGCCCTGTCCCGGGCATCGAGCCAAACTGGCACTGGCACCAACATACAGGAGCCGTCACTGGAAGAAAACGGGGGCCAAGGCGCTTCTCAATGCTTTTCCATCCTGATATTTGCCTTGTCTGTGATGATCAATGTCCACAGCCCTGCATGCCCTAAAGGGCAGTACCCCGACTGTAGTCGCTCCTTCCTTCTCGCTTGTGATCTCGTCTTCGCCGTCTGCTGGTATCCCTTCTGTGGGCCACTTAGGCCGCGTTGGCTTCAGCACACTAAATATACAACACTTGAAAGCTGCTGGCCCACCCCCTGCTCCTTCCGTCAGCACTTAACACCGCAGCCGCCTCGCACCGACTGAGTATGGAGTTGCCCCAGTTCGCACCTTCCCTGCACTAAAACGGCCCTCCACACACACCCGCTTCCGCTGCCCACTCTGTCATCTGCCACTATTGGAGAAGTCGTCCTCTGTGCTTCTGTGCCTATCCGCCCTGCCGCCCTCCAACGCCGCTGGGTTGCTTGTGCATCACCATCCCGCTTCTGTGCTGCCGCTCTTTGTCACTGCTTTGTCTTCTGTTCGCAGCCTGCCACATTTTTGCCCCAACTCGTCGTCACCGACCAGGTGCAGCGCTCTTGCCACTGCTCCTTCCTTCTGCCTTCTGTTTGTGACTCGTTCTTGCTCGTCTTGCACTCGTGCTTACCCAAATCGTCATTTCCACTTTCTGTGCCAGAGCTCAATTCGTAGGGCGCTCCTTCCCGCACCGCTCCTCTTTTAGTTTTCTTAGCCCGCATTTCACTGGCTTCTCTCTGTCTCCACCAGCTGTCTCTCAACACTCAGCTCCTTCTCAGTCTCCTCACCTCTCCGCCCTCTTCGCCGCATCTCGACTCCTCTCTCTTCTCTTCGAAACTCCACTCACCGTTCCTCGCTCTCGTCCCCTGCTACGTTGCCAACCGACACGACACCTCACGCCGCAATTTCACATATTGATTCTGGCATTCTGGGTGTGCTGCATCCACTTACCGCCTGTCGACTTCAATCGGCACTCCCCTCTCTTCCCTGTCCCGGCTATCGACAAGCTTCGACGCTTCGTCTGTTACATCACCAGCTTGCAGTTCCCGACGACATCTCGAAACAATGGCCTAATTCAGCGTGTATCGGATCTCGATTCTCCCAGTTGATCTACTCTTCGACAGCTACTGCTCGATTGATTCCTTGTGGTGAAGCAGCAGCTCGACGTCGGAAGCGCAACGAATCGACAACCAGCGCTATTCGACCCCTTCTTTCGTCCTCTCTCGCTCTCTCGCTCTCTCGCTCTCTCGATCGATTGAATTGACTATTGCGCCTCTCGCGCCGTTTCTCTACGCCTCGTTGTCCTTGCTTCCTTCCCCTAGACGTCGCCCCCGGGACATGGCTGATCCCACCACAACCCCTGCCTGGTGGTGACAATGACCAGGAATGAAGCAGCCTCGCGCATGAGCTCGGTGACGAGCGCCTCGACTGACAGTGGCCGGTCCTCCGTAACCGTCAAGCCGCTCCCTTCTACCCCAATCCCAACCGCGTCCCCCTCCCTCCGCGGCGCCTCGCCCTCCCCCGAGGACGGCCGCGGTCTGCGGCACACCGCCTCTGTCGACTCCCGCCGCGGACCTCCCTCGCGTCTTAGGACCGACGACAATGCCAACCTCAGGTAAGGCTCCCTTTTATCGTCTGCAGACTGTGCCTTGTTAAAGCCTTTTCTCCTGTTTCCTTTCTGTGCTAACCGTCTCTCTCAGAAATCGAACTGTGATCCGGCAAGACAGCCAGATCTCCCCTACCTCTACCGCCGCCACAGTCGGTACGACACGAGGCACGGCCCCTCCCTTGTCATCGACAGGCTCCAACAACATCAACATGCATACCGGCCGTGATCACCGCGACCAGCACCCGCACCAGCATCAGCACCGTGCCGACTTTGGTAACTACCGCCGCGACCTCGCCGTTTTAGACGCAGATACCCGGTCAGGCTCGGGCGGCGGAGACAATAGCAGCCACCATGGCGGCCGCACCAGCAGTGCTCCCCAGATCCCACAGCTAGCCTCCCTGGGCAGCCCGGGCCTGTCTCAGATTGCGCCCTGGATGTCCGCTGGCGGAAGCAGCAGCAACAACAACGACGGCCATGCCGCCAACGCAGCAGCGACCCCCGGGACAGCCGCTGGAGGCGGTGGTGGTGGCGGCGGCGGCGGCGGCCTGGCCTCCACCAGCTTCTACAATGACTCGAGCGAAAACGTCTCCATTGCATCACAGCTCTCACCCGCCTTCCGCACAAACTCCCTCTCTCTCACCCGGCACCATTCCGCCCAGACCCCCGCCAGCACCAGCAACGAGTCCCCCGATGCAGCCTTCTTCAACGACGACCGCCGGCCGTCCGTCGCCAGCATCGCCACCAGCGCCAGCAGCACGGGCTCCAAAGCCAGCGACCGCCGCGGCGGGGGCTTTCGCAAGCTGCAAGGTTTCTTTGGCGAAGAGTTCCCGGGCCGTGACAATTCCGACGCCAGCATCAGTACGACGGGCAAAGAAACGAGGTCGCAATCGTATAGCCACGGCCGCCCTCACCGCGATCGCAACCTTTCGAATGCCACCGACCGGGATCCCTCGCCATCCTCCTCGCGTCCTCGCACGCCTGTGCCGGCGCCAGAGGTCGTTCCATTCCTCTACCAAGAGGCCGATGTACGTTTTTATTTTTATTTTTGTTTCTGTGCCTTTGGCAGGTTTTGTTTTTCGCGATCATTGGCCTCTTTTACGACTTTTACGACTTTTGATACTTTCGATGCCTTTGGTACTTTTGGCAACTTTTGCAACTTTGCAACTTTTGCTACTTTTGCAACTCTGTCGAGTTTCACAGCTTATTCCATCATCCACGTGTTTCGAGCCGGTCGCCTACACGCTTCGTGTTCGCTTGGACTTCGTTTCCTTGTCATCCTTCCTCTTCCTTCTTAGCCTTGTTCTTTCCGCTACGACCTTCCCCACCGTTGAGCATCATCGCCTAGACGCCCGAAAGGGCCTGCCAAAAAGGCCGCTAACGGTCGCCAAGGCCTATCGGCATAATTATCTCCTTCTTTTCTTCACCTTTCTCACCATCCCATCCCCTCAATCTCCCTCCTCGATGCGATCGTTTTCTTGTTCTTGCCTCTGTATTCTCTTGTTTCACAGCATCTAATAATGTATCGCTCTCTAGGATATTGCGAGGTATGGTGAGGCTCCCGTCCGAGACACCCTGAGCGGTCCCGACCGAGACCGCTATGTCAACGAGGCCTCTGGTCAGAATCCGCCCAAGACCTCCTCGTCCTCCCGCTCCGGCCACTCACTGCCGCACCTTCCGCACCATCACCACCGCCACAACAAGAGCAACGACGACCCCCGCACCATTCTGCACACAATCAGCAGGGAAGACTCGATCGCCAGCATGCGCGAGCGCGCCACGCCGGCCATGTACACCTCCACGCGCTCCCGGGCCCAGAGCCCCACCCCGAGCGGAAACAGCGGTAGCGGCAGCGCATCCTTTAGCGCCCCGAAGACCAGCTTCACCGACGGACAGATCTCGCCGCCTGGTGGGCACCCGAAAAAGGGTTTGCTCGGTCGATTAAGACGGCATAAGGACAAGGACGACGGCGCCAGCAGTGGCGGCAACAATAGCAACAACGGCGGCGGCAGCCACACCGCCCACAGCATCGCCGCGCAGCTCAAGAAGGTACCCCATAACGCGCACAACCTCTCGTCTCGCCCGTCACGACACGATGTATCGCGCGCCGAGCTAGGCGGCCACTTCTTCGGCTCCGACATGTCCTTGTCACAACGCTTCCACGGCGACTACGAGGGCGCCGCACAGCAGGCACGCCACGGCAGCACATCGCGGCAGGCCACCTTCAACAACAAGTTCCCCTTCTCCAAAAAGAACCGGACGCACCGCCACATCGACGACCAGGAGGAGATGATCGGCCCCACCGACCGCGCAGACAACGGCACGCAGTTCTTCCTTGATACGGACCTCAACAACATGGATGGCATTTTGAGTCGACCCCTCCCACTCACGCCCATGGACGCCGATGCCCACCGAGGCGCCGAATCGGACCGCGGCACCGGCACGCCCCGCATCAACCACTACTTCCAAAAACACATTCCCCACTTTGGCACACATCACAACTCGCCGGCTGCATCGACGGCTGCGATAGCAGGGCCCGGCATAGCGCCGAGCGGGGCCAGCGGCCCCAACGGGTCCAATGGGCCCAACGGCGCATGGAATGCGCCCGACAGCTGGGCCGTGCGCCGTACAGGCGACGATGTGGCCGCGCACCACCTGCCGGAGACCGACGACTTTGGCAGCCCGCCCCGCAACCCTGAAGAGAAGGTGCAAAACTACTGCATCCGCGTGTTTAAGAGCGACGGAACCTTTGCCACTCTTCAGATGCCCCTTACCGCCTCGGTCCAAGACGTCGTTGCGCAGCTCGCCAAGCGCGTCTTCACCGAGAGCCAAAACTTCCAGATTGTCCTGAAACGGCACGGCATCATCCGCATCCTCAGCCCTGCGGAGCGCCCACTCATGATCCAAAAGCGCCTGCTCCAGCAGGTCGGCTATGAGCAGCGCGACCACATTGAGGACATCGGCCGCGAGGACAACAGCTACCTCTGCCGCTTCCTGTTCGTCTCCGCGCACGAGAGCGACTTCCAGTCTCGGTCACACGATCTTGGCTTCAGCCGCATGCCGAAACTGAACCACGTCGACCTGTCCAGCCGGAACCTCATTACCATCCCCATCACCCTCTACTCGAAAGCCGCCGACATCACCTCCCTCAACCTCTCCCGCAATCTCTCTCTCGACGTGCCGCGTGATTTTATCCAGTCTTGTCTCAACCTGCGCGACATCAAGTACAGCAACAACGAGGCGCGCAAGATCCCACACAGTCTGGGTCGTGCCAGCCGCCTGACGTTCCTCGATGTATCCAACAACCGCATCGAGACAATGGAACATGCCGAGCTCGAGGACATTACGGGCGTGCTGAAGCTCAACCTGGCCAACAACCGCCTCAAGCAGCTGCCCTCCTACTTTTGCGCCTACCATGCGCTGCGCACCCTCAACATCTCGTCCAATTTCCTCGACAAATTCCCCGGCTTCGTATGCGAGCTTGAGAGTCTGGTCGACCTGGACCTGAGCTTTAACCTAATCAGCAGCCTACCCGACGCCATTGGAAACCTTCGCAACCTGGAAAAGTTTGTGATTACGAACAACCGCCTGAGCGGTGCCTTTCCGCTGGGATTCCAGGACCTACAGAGCCTCCGCGAGCTGGACATCAAGTACAACACCATTACAAGCATCGACATTATTTCCGAACTGCCGAAACTGGAGATTCTGACCGCAGACCACAATGCCATCTCCCAGTTTGTTGGCAGCTTCGAGCGCCTTCGGTCTCTCAAGCTGAATGCGAACCCCATCACCCGGTTCGAGATTGTCAACCCGCTGCCGACGCTCAAGCTGCTGAACCTCTCGAATGCTCAGCTGGCCAGCATAGACGACTCGTTCAACAACATGCGCAACCTGGAGAGCCTGCATCTCGACAAGAACTACTTTGTCTCGCTGCCCAACCAGATTGGCAACCTCGGCCGCCTCGAGACCTTTAGCATTGCCAACAACTCCGTTGGCGAGCTGCCGCCCGAGATCGGCTGTCTGACCGAGCTGCGTGTCCTGGACGTGCGCGGCAACAACATCCGCAAGCTGCCCATGGAGATCTGGTGGGCCAACAAGCTCGAGACACTCAACGCCTCGTCCAACGTGCTCGAAAATTTCCCGAAACCCGCGTCGCGCGCACCGCAGGTGCCTGGCGAATCGAACAAGGACAACGTGTCGTCCGCTCAGGGCCGCATGATGAGCACCGTCGGCACATTGTCTTCGACGCCGAGTTCCGAAGAGCTCAGCGCCGACGGCTCGCGCCGCCCGAGCCAGGCCTCCAGCACACTGTTGAGTGTCGGCCCGTCGCCTGTCCCGTCCGGCCCTGACCGGAAGAGTTCGGTCGTGTCCGTGTACGGCAAAGGTGGGCGTAAGACGTCCATTGTGTCGCGCAGCACCGCTCAGAGCTCCGGCATGGCGACACCCACAGCGAGCTCACGAAAGGACTCGGGCCTGTCGTCGCGCATTACCAACACTTTTGCCGGGTCGCTGCGGAACCTCTACTTGGCGGACAACCAGCTGGACGACGAAGTCTTTGAGCAACTGGCCCTCTTGGGCGAGATCCGTGTGCTCAATGTGTCGTACAACGACCTCACGGACATACCGCAGCGGTCTATGACAAGTTGGCCGCAGCTAGTTGAGCTGTACCTCTCGGGCAATGAGCTGACGACGCTACCCGCCGACGACCTGGGCGAGTACAGCATGCTGCAAGTTCTGCACATCAATGGCAACAAGTTCACCAACCTGCCGGCCGACATTTCCCGCGCCAAGAAGCTGGCCGTGCTCGACTGCGGCAACAACTCGCTCAAGTACAACATCTCCAACGTGCCATACGACTGGAACTGGAACTTGAACCGCAATCTGCGGTACCTGAACTTGTCTGGCAACCGACGTCTCGAGATCAAGCAGACGGCGTACAATGCCAGTGCGGCCATGCGCTCGGCGGAGCAGTACGCCGACTTCAATCGGCTGCCGAAGCTGCGCGTGCTCGGTCTCATGGATGTCACGCTCACGCAGCCTAGCGTGCCCGACCAGACCGAGGACAGCCGTGTCCGGACGTCCGGATCCATGGCAGGGTTCCTGCCGTACGGCATGGCGGACACGCTGGGCAAGAACGAGCATTTGTCGACCATTGACCTGGTCGTGCCTCGATTCTCCTCCAACGCCAACGAGGGCAACGAGCAGGACACGCTGCTGTGTCTGTTTGACGGCCAGGCCTTGTCGTCGGGTGGCTCCAAGATTGCCAAGTTCTTGCACGAGAACTTTAGCCGCATCTTTGCCGCCGAGCTCAAAGCGCTCAAGGCGAACCAGGGCGTGACCATCGAGGACTGCCTGCGCCGCGCGTTCCTGACGCTCAACAAGGACCTGGTCACGAGCTCGATCCAGGCCGAGGACCGCCTGCCGCTATCGTCGTCCTCGCCGGCGGTCGCTCACCGCGGCTCCATTGCCCCTATGGTGCTCACCAAGGAGGACCTCAACTCCGGCGGCGTCGCGACGGTCGTCTACCTGCTGGGCCAGGAGCTGTACGTGGCCAATGTCGGTGACGCACAAGCCATGCTCATTCAAAGCGACGGCTCGCACAAGGTGCTGACGCGCAAGCACGACCCCGCCGAGCCCAACGAGCGGTCGCGCATCCGGGACGCGGGCGGCTGGGTGTCGCGCAACGGCCGGCTCAACGATGTGCTGGACGTGTCGCGCGCGTTTGGCTACAGTGAGCTGATGCCGTCCGTCATGGCGGCACCCCACGTGGTGAACCACAAGGTGCGCGAACAGGATGAAACGGTGGTGCTGGCCACCAAGGAGCTCTGGGAGTACCTGAGTCCCGGCCTTGTGGTCGACATTGCGCGGCAGGAGCGGGGCGACCTGATGCGTGCCTCGCAGAAACTGCGCGATCTGGCCATGGCATACGGCGCGAGCGGCAAGATCATGGTCATGATGCTGAGCCTGTCTGACCTCAAGCGCAAGACGGAGCGGTCGCGCCTGCATCGCGGCCAGAGCATGTCGCTGTATCCGTCGGGCGTGCCCGAGGAGGCGGCGCAGCAGTTCTTGCCGACGCGGCGCGGCAAGCGCACCAAGGGCGACGTGCTGGACTCGACCCTGCAACGCCTGGACGCCGAGGTACCGGCCCCTACGGGCCTGATTGCGATTGTGTTTACCGACATCAAGAGCTCGACAACGCTCTGGGAAATCTACCCGGCGGCCATGCGCTCGGCGATTAAGCTGCACAACGACGTCATGCGGCGGCAGCTGCGCTACATTGGCGGGTTCGAAGTCAAAACGGAAGGTGACGCATTCATGGTGTCCTTCCCGACGGCCACGTCGGCGCTGCTGTGGGCGTTCGCCGTGCAGCTGCAGCTGCTGGACGCGCCCTGGCCGACGGAAATGCTCAACTCCGTGACGTGCCAGCCGATCCTCGACAAGGACAGCAACATCATCTTCCGCGGTTTGTCGGTGCGCATGGGCATTCACTGGGGCGAACCACTGTGCGAGCCCGACCCAATCACACGACGCATGGACTACTACGGCCCCATGGTCAACAAGGCGGCGCGGATCAACAGCATCGCCGATGGTGGCCAGATCACGGTGTCGTCCGACTTCATCTCGGAGATCCAACGGTGCCTCGAGACGTACCAAGAATCGCCGACAGGGTCTGGCGGCGCAGGCGGATCGAGCGAAGACGGCGTGGGCCGCGGCAGTGTTAGCGGCAATGGTAGCGTCAGCGCCGCTGGCGGTTCCGTGGGCGGCAGCTCCACGGCCGGCACGGGTTTCGACGACGACACGTTTGCGCAGACCATCCGCAAGGAGCTCAAGGCCCTGTCGTCGCAGGGGTTCGCCGTCAAGGAGCTCGGCGAGATCAAGCTCAAGGGCCTCGAAAACCCGGAAGTCGTCTACTCGCTGTATCCTCACGCGCTGGCCGGCCGCATGGAGGCACATTCGCACCACGAGCGCCTGGCCGCCGCGGTTGCTGCCGCGGCGAGCGGTGTCGAAGGTGCCGCCGTCAATGGCTCTGGCAGTGGCAGCTACCATAACAACAGCACAGCTGGGGCAACAGCAGCCGCCGCCGCCGCCGCCGTGGCCACCGCCGGTAGTGCCAGCAGCAGCGATGCCAACACGATTCCGGCCGGCGGGCGCGCGTTCCCTGGCTCCAAGCTGCCGGCGCCGACGTCGGCCATTATCCTGGGCGACCCGGACACGGATGACCTGCGGATGATTCCCGAGGTGATTTGGGGCCTGTGGCGCGTCAGTCTGCGCCTGGAGATGCTGTGCAGCTCGCTCGAGCAGGTGGACGGAAGCGGGCTGCAGCCACCGGAGACGGAGCTGCTGGAGCGCATGAAGCAGCGCGGCGCCAACGTGACGGAGCGGTTCCTCCTGAACTTTTTGGCGCACCAAATCAGCCGCATCGAGACGTGCATCAACACGCTGACGGTGCGGCACATGGCCATGGGTGTGGGCCGATCCGCCACCTGGACGATCTGCGGGCGTCGATGGCGGATGTGTTTGCGGCGTTCCGGCACCAAATGGTGGAGCTGCAGGCGTACAAGGCCAAATATGGCCCGCTGCAGGGCGGCCACATTGAAGACGAAATGGAGGACGAAGACGACGAAGACGACGAAGGCAGCGACACCGAGCAGGAGTAGGTGTTTTTTGGGGGGGTTGGCGTGTGATAACAGGGTACGGGCTGACGTCTTTTTTTTTTTGGTTTATTATTTCTTGCTCTGTCTCTGTTGGCATTGGGGCGTCATATTTCGGGGCATATCTACTCTTGTCTTTGGAGTATATCTTTCGTTTTGTTGGCTATTTTGGATTCATTTTGGACTGTAGTTTGCCTTTTTCGGTGTGTATTGGTTGCTTCTCCATTTCTACCATTTATTTGGTGGCTCCGACTCTGATACGACATTTATTTTTGTTTTGAATTCTCTTCTATCGTGTCCATCATTTGCAGCAGAGATCGTTGAAGGGATTGTTACTGTGAGCCAACCTTTGGTCGTTGACGCTGTTGGTGCGGTTGCTGCTTCACTTTGCCGCTTCCCCCACGTGCTCGGCCAACAAGGCGATCTACCTACCGACCCCTGTCGTCTGCACTTGCCGTCCGTCTTTCGTACCTGCCCGTCTTCACACACTGTCACGTTGTCATGCCGTCACGTAATGGCATTTGCATCTCGATTGGTCAAGAGCCAGGGCCAGGCCGGCGGGAGAGGGACGAGGGAAGGCACGAGTGGCAGCCTCGCTTGTGGTCTGCACTAGGTCGCCCTTTCCTGCTGTCCCCACGCCCCAGAAATAAACTCCTGTCGCTATTTCCCTTTTCTGGGGCCACTTCTTAAGCTTGGGTTGCGTGCTGCGTTTGCGCTGTGTACAGCCAAGAAACGTGATTGATAAAGTGCCGGGTGTTATCGTTATCATATCCTGTGCAGTGTCGTCGGCTGGAAAGGCTGGCGTTTGGCTGTGGCGTGGCTGCTGGGTATTACGCAAAGCCATCTTCAGCCGTACGTAATGGGAAGATTGGCGGGCTGGGATTGGCCGGAAAGGCACTAATCGTTGGCTCGCTGACCTCGCCTGCGTGCCTTCCTCGTCTGCCAGGAAAACCGCCTGCTCTGTCGCCCAAGACTGCAGCTGGGCACCGCCGTAGTTGCCGTCTTGTGTATTTTGCCAAGACTTGCTATTCCATTAGGCTTCACTTCCAAGTGGGAAACGAGGAAGGAACCCACTACAGCTGCTTTCGAGGTTGCGGGATGATAAAGACAAGGGCGCTCAAAATGGAAAGGCCCCTTCCAAGACGTTCGACGAAGCTAGAGATAGCGCAAGGGCAATAGATAAGGCTGTCTCCACCACGGGCAAACACCGCGACAACGTCCAACCATATCCCAAGCAAGAGACGCAAGAGACTCGGCCAACCTGTCTACATTTTTCGTTTTGGTTTACCCCCGGGATCTTCCTTGTGGTAGCTGAGTCGTACCGCGGGAAGAACGTATACTGAGTGGTAGGACGAGTAGGAAGCAAGTAAGACGAAGAAATCGTTCTCAGGGAAGAGTTCTCAGCGAAGAGAAGAGCAGAAAGAAGAAAAAGAAAAGAAAAAAAGAAAGCAGAGCAAGTTCTTGGTCTCTTGTACAAACGCCCCACCACGCTGCCGCCTCTTTGTGCTTCCTCGCCGACATCGTTCTCGCGCCTCGGGATCGCAAGGGACGTCCCTGTTCGCTTGCCGCATCTGCACGACTAATAAGATTGAATACTCGCATATGCACACTTGGGATTGGCCTTTTGGGATTCGTTGTCTACGTTTTTGGCCTCTTATCAGTTTATCAGTCATATAAGCTCCCCCCAGTTCCCCATCCTCCCCTCCGTCTGTTTTCTCATTTTTCTGATCCTTCTTTTTCTCTCTCTTTTCCAGTGTCTCCTTTTTTCTCTTTTTCATAGTTATTTCGTCCCTTCTTCTTCCCCTTCCCAGCTTAGGCTGTTTCGTTGTCAAACGAACTCGACGATTTCCGATTTCGCGCTCGCCTCTTCGTCCTCCTGTCGGCGTTTCCGAGGTGTGTAGGCCCCGTTTCCCACATTGCGGCCCTCTTTTGTCACAGTCTCTCGTGGGTGATTAATTTTATTTATGTTACGTTGGTTATTGTTTTTGGCATTCCGTATACGCTCTCCTTGATTCGTCGTGTGCTTGAAGTGCACCTCGCCCAGCCTTCTGTGAACCTGGCCTGCCTGTTATCGCAGTCTAACCCGTTTTCTGTCGTTGAATATTTCCCAATGGTCGTCATTTAATACCTCGCTGTTCTTTTTCGTCTCATTCTCCTTTCTTCGTTCTTCATTCTCATTTTCTGCTGTTTGCTATATCTCGACGAACAGACGTGAGCTGACCACTACCTCGACAAGACCTACTTCGACTCCCACGAACCCACGAGTCTCACAAATCTATTACCACAAATAACAAAATGGCCGAGGTCTCAACCGCTGAAGTGTCCCACGGCCGTGGTGGTGCCGGCAACATTGTCAAGGACGACACCAAGTATGTCGACGGCGAGATTGTCCGTGCCGGCATCGTTGGCAGCCACGATGACGGCCCGTACTCGACCGGCAGAGGAGGTGAGACCGTTTGAACCCTTTTTATCGACATTCTCTTCCCAAGCCCATCGACTATCCCGCTAAACGTTGCAACCTAGGCGCCGCCAACATTGGTGACTCCGACAAGCGCCGGTCACTCGAGCGCGCCGACCGCACGCTGGTCCCCGATGCTGCCGTGCGCCCTTCAGCCGACCTGAGCGACTACCACACGGGACGCGGCGGTGCTGCCAACGTGCACCTGGGCCCCGAGTCGGAGAAAAAGAAGGCAGAGAAGGCGGCGCACGAGGGCGGCGGCCCCCCGCCGATGGTGGGCCTGGCCGACAAGCTCAAGCACAAGCTCACGGGCGTGTTCAAGAAGTAGACGGCCCTCCCTGTGTTGGATGCTGGACGAGACTGACGGGCGGACCGATGATACCTCTTTTTCGATGTTTTTCTTTATTCTATTATACTGTTCTTACATTCTTTCTTACAAAAAGATGCTCGACAATTTTGTTGTCTTTATAGATTTCCCCCAAATTGCGTTGCGCTCCCGGAAGAAGGAGGAGAATTGTTTCTACTCGCTACAGCCTCCACTTCTTGATATCATACCAAAAACGCGTTTCCTGCTGCTATTTAAATTCAAGTGAATACAACTGACACGCATATCTGACGCTACGTTGTGCCCATGCACTGACCCATTGGATACAAAACAACTCAAATCACTGAATTAGAACCAGTACTGTATGTTTGCGCGGCTGTTGGCTGTGGCCTCCCAGCCTCCTTTCCGAGCACGAAGATTTATTGCCACCTCAGCTTCCTGTTTCCTGTTTCCTGCATATGTCACTGCAGACAAGCCGGACCCGGTTAGGTTTTGTAATCGCCCGTAAATAAAACAAATCTCTATTAGCCGCCTCCTGCATCCAGCTCTGCACACATATATGCAAGGGTCGCCAAAGCCGGGAAAAAAATGTGCAAAATAGCATTGAATATATTGCCTCCCACACACGCGCGCACGCCATCCCGCCATCCCTTGTCCGCCCCCGTACTCCGACCCCCGGTCTTACCCACACCCATACTCCGTGCTCCAATATACTCTGGTCTTTTTCAAACACCGCGGGGAGCGCAGCATTAATGCTTTGATAATACTGGCTTTATGTAAGGCTTTGGATCGAGTCAATGCAACATGTTTCGTGCAACCGCTGCGCTGCGTTTTGCGGGGAGTGTGAACCTTTGGCTTCGAACTTTGGATGCTGGATGTTTTGTGTACATTTGCACTCTGCACGCCTAAGAAGCCTAGCTAGCACACTCCACGCGCGGGCTGTCCCTTGCCGTGCCCCGTGGCGATCTTTGAGATGAGCACACTGTGAGGGGAAAAGTGCGCAAAGAAAGCAACTCATAACGAAGAGGCTGCTCTCTGTACTCTGTCCTCTGTATCCCCCACTGTTGCAATGTGAGGCCAGGGAACGTCCAATGTAGCACTCAGAGACATGTGCGAAAAGTCAAGTGACCTACTTCGGCAAGATCGACCGTGCATAAGCAACACCGACAGCAAAAGGGAAAGGGCGGAAGGAGGGCGACCAAGGCACTGCAACCGAGAGATCGCAATGCAAGGTGGTCCGGTTTGCCCTTCGCACCTTCTGCACCTGTTGCATCTGCTGCAGCTCCCAGCACCTGCACCATCTGCAGCCGGGTCTGTCATATGCAGTTCATGCACGGCAGGAGCGATCAGCGGCTAGACAGACTACTGCGGCAGCAGCGTACTAAAATAGGCAACGGAGGGCGCCGAGGCAGCGGGCTGAGAAAACAGGCGAGGATGGCTGAGGAAGCTGAAAAGACTGGCCGATACGACGGACGAGCAAAACAACAGTAGCCTTGGACAGTCTCGACGTGTGCCCCGTGATGAAATAAGGTCGGCATGGGCGATATTGCGATTTTGCGATGCTGAAAAATATCATAATAAAATAATAAAATAACACAAAAACGGCGCGCCGGGAATGCAGTTCCTGCACATTGCTGCGATGGGACAAAGGGTTTGGACGAAATGGAAACCACGCACGGCGAGAGGCACCGAGTTCTGTACACAATACGTTGTACTCGAAGCTCCATTTTTACGAGATATGCAAACTATTGCCCGACTTGCGACTCAGCTCGACAAACACCAGCGGCAGAAAGAGGAAACCGCAGCGCAAGTCTCCTCGTCTTTCTTTCCCCTTTGGGCAGAGAGGGGCGCTCTTTCCTATTCTCCCATACACAGACGGCCATGTCTCAGGCGGCCAACTGGTCGTTGCTTCCCTTTTTGCTGCTCATTTATGTACAACGTACTCAAGTACGAATTACTCAACCGTTGATTGCGTGTTGAGATGCATTATTCTGGGAGGAACGGAAGGCACGTCCACGACCCCCTCCTCCCATCTCCTCTTCGTTCTTCCCTCGTTTCCCTCTTTTACCACATCATGCCCTCGTCCCTCTTTTTTTTCGTCGTTTTCCCTGTCTCCTTTCTGTCCCTCTCCCTTTCTCTCATTTTGCTTCACTTTTGACCGACTGCTTCCCCAACGGAGTGTTTCTTGTTGAGCGGCATCTTGCCCGAGGCAAACACGTTCTT